ATACGCTGCACACACAGGCTGCATGAAAGCTGCGAAACTATGCTTTTGTTTTTGTGCAACTATGCTTTTGTTCAAGAGTAAGTTCATCTTAGCCCACTGCAACATTTTTATTTTATGAACTTAAAAAAAACCCTTTTTACTATAATAATCCTTAGCTTAAGCACAAACGTGTCACACAGCTGTATGAAGATATTTTCTTACTTTATACTCCTATTCTATAAGCATTTTTCTATTTAATTTTTTTTTTTTTTTTTTTTTTGCTTTTTAAGCTTTTTGTTAAAAACTAAAACAAAACCATACTCCTTAGCTTAGGCTTACACAGGATTGGGATCATCAGTATCACTGTCCTCCACCTCCACATGCTGTTCCCCTGGAAGGTTTCCAGGAGCATTAGGGTTTGCATGTGAATATCCCCCAAGCCTGTGTCTCCAGAGCAAGGTACTACGAGGAACTGGCAGACGCTATAAGAGGGGTGGTCTTATGGGAGGAAGTCACATCACTGGAACATTGCCTTGGAGGGGATGTTGGAACCAGGGCCGCTTCCTCCTACTTTTTGCTTCCCAGCCACCATGGATGAATAACCCTCAATTGCTGCACACTCCCATTAGGATGGTCCTGCCATCACAGACCAAGGCCACACAGCCAAGTAGCCATAGACCAAAACCACTGAAACTGTGAACCCAATTACCCTTTTCTCTTATTAAATGGATTATCTCAGGTGTTTTGTCACAGCGATGGAAAGCTAACACAAGAGGCAAAACCACATTAGGAACCATCATCTCCTATAACCATACCTTCACCTACTGAAATACCTGTCTAAGGATGGTTTACAGTTAGCTGTTTAAATTTGTAGAAGGCGTACACTTCAAAATAATAATAAAAATATAATAAATACCATAAGTAATATAGGTATTTATTACCAAGTATGATGTACTATATATAATTGGATGTGCTATGCTCTTATACAACTTACAGTATGGGTTTACTTATCCCACCATCATCTCAGACACATGGTGCACTACAGAACAGTGTCATCATGGGTATGACATCACTTAGGCAACAGGAACTTCTCACTGCCATTAAAATCCTACATGCCCACCATACACATGGCCTGTGACTTTGCAAAACATACTTACCTGCCACATGATTATGTATTTTGTCTCTGTTTTTTTCACAGTGGACCTGCCATGTGAACACAATGTTCCTTTTTTGTCAATATGTAGTAAAATGAATGCAAATAAATGAGTAACGGTATGACTATTTAAAGGACAATTATGTGATAAAACCTTCTCAGGAAGTTATCTACAAGCTAGTGGAGAGTTTCCTGTGGGAACTATTTCCTTTACAGTAAAGAAAATGTAACACAGCAAAGATTCAAGGCCCAATGAGCCATATTTCCTAATATTACCAAAGAAAAACATCAGATTTGATAACTAGATTTCTTTTACTAAAATTGCTCTTTTACAGAAAACCAATATTTGCTTTTGAGCTTGTTGTGCTAAACACAAAAAAAGTAAGATGACAGTAAAAGCTACTTTTAAAAACATTCATTAAACACAGGAGTACCTATCAAAGGGAGCAAGGACAGAGAAGCAGGAGAGTTCAGGTACAAAGGGCTAGGCCAGCATAGCACCCCACTTGCTGCCATTGTTTATAGACACAGCCTGGGCTTATATAAATTCTTATTTAATCCTACAATTCTGTGATATTAAAATGCCATTTAAATGTTCCAGGAAAACCAAATGTAACCGTGTGATGTGGAGGGAGGGTATGCATGTGTTTAAATAACTCAACACTAGGTGGCCCTAATTACAAAACCAATGCATTTTCAAAACCTAAACCCCAGAACTATACCATTCTGAGAACAGATGGATTATAAGAAGCTAAATCAAAATCCGTTACCTTCCAAGATCATGTATGCATTGAGTATTTATTCTTAAAATGCTACAACTCTCCAAAAGAGCAGGCATAGATCCTAGGAGATTTTATTTCACAGATAAAAACAAGTTGCATTGCCATAGGCTTGAAAGTTGTCAATTTAAGTTGCTCTGAAATTATTTCACTTTATATTCACATAGTATTCTATTATTTTAACATTACTTTCACATACACCAGTTGATTTGACCCTGGCAGTAAGCAGTAAGATAGATAATGGAGGTAGATATTTTCCTCTTCAAAGGACAGGGCACTGGAATTCAGACAGGCATTTTATTCAAGGGTATATGTCTTGAAAGCTAGTGTTGGGACTGGATTTTCAAGATCTTGACACCTGGATCAGTGTCATTTCTATACAATAATCAGGGATTATTGCACTATGCTTTCCACTATCTAGTGTATCTGACATGGCAATCCATTCTTTAGAATGGTCCTACTAATGAATTAAATATCCCCACATAACTATCAAATATCCAGAAATGGAATGTCAGATTTCTAGAGACTGGACAGAGGCAACATCACCGCATGACAATTTATTCTTCACCATACACCCAAAATATACACAAATGGATGATGTGTCTTTCCTTCAAACCCTGCAGTAACGTCCCATTGTCCCGGGATAATAATGGAAGACTAAATGCCTTTATGCATGGCCTTTCAGGAGCTGCCCCTGATCTAGTCACTTTCCCGTCCTCATACTTCTCACTGTTAGCTTTCTGTTAGCTATTTGAATGTGTCAATCTCTCTAACTCAGGGTATTCACATGCGCTGCTCCTACCAACTACCCGCTCCTCCCACCCACACATCCTTCAGGTCTCAGTGCAAGTAATTCATACTCTGGAAATTTTTCCTCAGCTACTACATGGTCCACCAAGCTCCAGACTTGTTTAGGTCCCCGTGTTTTCTGCTGTGTTTGGCATCTGTACTTGTTCTTCACAGTGTTATTACTACTATAATGAGTTCACCATTGAAGTATTGGCTTCATGCAACCTTAATCTTGTTTATTAACTGCTAAATGCCTAAAGACAAGTATAGTATTTTGCCAGCTTTCAAAATTGTGATCAAGGATAAAAAATAAATTTCACATCATAATTAGTACACACAGATACAAGGCACCCCAAAGAAGGCACATAAATAATTCTTATCTTTCTAGTTTTAATTATCTTGATATGTTCTATTCTATTTGTAGTATGTTATAACTACTTTACTGAGCTTATAGTCTACCAATAGCCCCAACTCTGACTTTAGATAATCATCCACTTACCAAAACTTAGCAGAGAGTAGATGTCTGGTAGTTGTTTATACAAAAAAAAACTAACAGAAAATTAATATTTACCAAGCATTATCTAAACTTGGCTTGTTTTTACAAAGTAAAAGTGAGCCTTGCCATGTTGAGTGGGGTCCCAGGTTCTCCGCCCCAAGTCAAAGATTTTCTCCCTAAGCAGCCTTCAGAGGAAGAGAGGTGGATCCATTATTTAGGCTTTATTTCTGATCTATGTATTTATAACACTGAACAATGGTTTAGAAAATTAAAGTCAATAACTTAAAAATGTTAGAAAATTCATGATTATTCATGGCTCTTATGAGAATTATGGTGAATTGTGGCGTGGGAGGTGGGCTGGCACCCAGAGTTTTGATGACCAGCCTCCAGAACTGTGAAGAAGAAATGTGTGTTATTGAAACCACCACTCTATGCTGTTCAATTTTTTAATGCAGTAATGCCTTTATTTCCTTATTATTAAATTAATGAAGGACAAAAACAATTCTGGGCCATCTAAAGCAGGACAGAACAAGCAGGACTAACCTGACTTGAACTTCTGATATGACTATCTTAGCTTAGCGATTGGAGTCTGGGTTAGGGGCATGGAGATCAGCTCCACTACTCTACTCTATGTGAATTTGAGCAAGCTTTTTAGTTTGTTTCATGCTTGTTTCCTGATCTCTAAAACAAGGACACTATAGCACTCACATCATGGGCTAATTGTGAGGGTTCTATAAACTAATGCACATAAAGTTCTTAATACAATGATTAAGTATTCAATAGATGTTACTCAACACAATTAGCCTACATTCTCCCCCATAGAAGTAGCCATTTGAAACTATTATGGGAACCCTCATATCAGTTAAGATAGGTGCTGCCGGCTGATCTTTGAAGATTCCATAGTCCTCAAAAATCCCTTTAGATTTTTGTTCTGTTATCTAAAATCTGTATGTCTAACCTCATGGGCAGGTATAGCTGTTCCAGGCCCAGACATTATAACTGCATTCTAAGTCATGTGCAAGGAGAAAACATATTCTCTTATAGCAACCTGAAATTTTTCTCCTTCTCTTCATTCTGGTCCATTCTCTGTTCTTCTCTCCCTCCAGTGTTTTCTGTATAGACTAAAGCTGTTACTAGAGAATGGAGAAGGTAGAGTTTATATTTTTGAACATATCATTTCTCTATTCTCCAAGACACACAGTTGCCATTGAGATTTCAGGCAATTAACAGGAGCATTGGCTTTAATATAAACCCAGTGCATAGTTGATTGTTATGCTTTCAGAGAGCTGCCTCCCTCTTAATATCTGAATGAGCAGCTTGAATAAAAACAAGTATGTTTTCCCCAACCTGGCCTTCCTCTCCCCACATGGTTATATAAATGCTTTGTGTATTTTCTGTTTGTAGGCCAGCATTTATCTTCATACTTGACCTAAAACGCCACCTTTGATAGAAAAAGTGTGAAACAAAATAATTTTGAAGTATCTTAGCCTTAATTTCACTTTGGCATAGGAGAGAGAGAGAGAGAGAGAGAGAGAGAGAGAGAACTAACATAAACAGAAGTTGAGTTACCCAAATTGCAGTACGTTTTATTTTTTAAATCCATACATCAATAAAACAGCTAATATTTACCCCAGTGGTTTTTAATGCAAAATGCATGTTATTTCTGTAAACAAAAAAGAAGAATTTTGTAGCTTCTGCTTGGGCTGTGGGGACCCATTATCTGGTCAAAGGGCTGTATGGACAGAAAAGACAGGGTGAGTTAAAGTTTAACTCCCAGGAATAGTAAACCAAACCTAAAGCCACTGAACCTTTGGAGTTTGATATGATGATTAGAACATAACCACAGTGACACGTTGAATTCGCCATAATCAAGGAACCTTTTCCGGGTGGGGATCTCTGAAATTACTCAGGTATGGTCCATGTGTTCTTCTTTTTCTATGTCAACTCTGTAGATCTGTGCAATGTGGGATCTGTGACACTGCATGAAAACAGCTTTTCCTCTCTTCTAGTACTAAGTCTAATCCAGGGAATTGTCCAGTTTGTTTTTAAGAAAACAAAGGAACATATTGGAATAATCGCAAATCTCAAAATGAAATGCCTGCTATATATTTTTCTTTGATTTAATCAATTTCTAAGGCTTAAAAAAAAGTAGACTCAGCCCCATGGGTTCAAGAACGAGGCTAATGTTCTGAGAAATTTATTTAGTCAGACAGCAGGGAGAGTTATGGTTTACTGCCTGTTCTGGTCCTAGGACCCTGGAAACAGAAATGTAATTAACATCTCTGACAGATTTTGAATTCTCTATATGTTTCATGATTTCTACCACACTTTAGACTTCATATGTTTAATTATGCCCTCTACTATGACATCCCCCCGTTAAAAGAAAAGACATGGTGATTTCTTGCTACTCTATCATTATCCTGCTTACCAAAAGAATGCCCTAAGCCATTTCCTTATAATTCTTGAAAAAAATATAACAAAACCAGTTTTAAATATGTTAAATCTCACACTTGGAATAGCTAATTATTAGACCATTTCCACAGTCTGCACAACTGTACTGCAGTGGATATATTTTCACATTATAATTTTGTTCAGCCCAACAAACGTAATGGTTCTAAATAGATCTAGAATAGATCAATCCAGGAATTTAATAGGAATATCCTATTCCTGCCAGAAATCTCTTCAACGCTCTGATTAAAATACTTTTATGATTATGAAAGTTCCAAGAAGAAAGTTTCCATGATAAATAAGTTTCTTTACTATAGAAATTTGCAAATATATACTGTATATCTCCAAGATGATGAATGTGAAATTATATGTGCAGTATATAGGATTATTCATGTTTGACAGAACTTATATTGGTATAAATTAACTCTAGTTATAATTCAGGAACATCAAAAATGTGCTGTCTGATATGTAACACTTTTTATAACATGCTGGGAGCATGTAATTGGAGGATAATTCTGGAAGTAAAAGTGAACTCACTTATGAAAACATTGAGACTTTTCCTGATAAATACAGAGTTCATCCTTAAAGAGCATATTTTCTGGAATAACATTGATATCACCCATTTTAGATGAATTTTACGTTTTACTGGTCCAATTTATTATTCATCAAATGTATTGCAAGAAAAGATAATTGGCATGAAAAAAACTGTCATGAACAAATATTTAAAGATGCAATAATGGATATAAAAATCAATGAATAATTAGTAATTTCTAACTGGGCTGATACTAAGCAGTATTCTGATCATGTAAACATTTTCTACACTGTATTTAGTGGACACTGATAAATGTGGCACAAAAGAGACCATAGGCAAGTTAGTCAAGTGGTTAGCTAACTTTTATTAATGTCTAGGATATTACACATTTAAACCATATCTATCCTCCTTATTATCATCTCATAACCTTTCTCTCCCCTATGCTAGTTCTCTTCCCTTTGTCTCCTAAGAGTTCTCTTCTACTTTTATAGCACCTCTTCTTTTTCCTTTTTTTCTTTTGATATTTCACTTACAAAGGAAAATCTGATACTTGTAGTTTTACATCTGTATCATTTCACTTGACGTGATGGTCTCTGGCTCCTGCAAGTGACACGACTTTGTTCTTCTTTGTGGATGAATAATACTCCATTGTATGTATATATAATATTTTCTTTACCCATTCATATGTTGATGGGCACCTAGACTGGTTCCATATCTTAGCTATTGTGAATTGTGCCCCCAATATACTTGGGTACTTGGGTACATAGGAATCTCTATAATATGTTGATCTTAATTCTGTCAGGTGCATACCAAGGAGTGCTATAAGTGGGCTATTTGGTAGTTCTGTTTGTAGGTTTTTTTTTTTTAACCTCCATACTTGTTTCCATAATGGTTATACTAATTTACATTTCTACCAGCAGTGTACAAGAGTTCCTTTTTTTTCTTGGTACCGGGATTTGAACTCGGGTCCTTGAGCTTGCGAGGCAGGTGGAAGAACCACTCAGCTAAATCCCTGGCCCTCTTGATGATATTCTGACAGGGGTGAAATGGAATTTCAGTGTAGTTTTGATTTGCTTAAGTCTCTTCAATTCATTTGCCCATTTATGGGTGGAGCTAAGTGTTTCCCGTATGCTTCCTTCCAGCACTTTTAAAGCTTCAAATCTTCTACCTAAGTTTTGATCCTATTAGCATTGATTTTTGTACAGGATGAGAGATAAGGACCTAGTTTCAGGTTTTACTTATGGATATCCAGTTTTCCTAGCACTATTTGATTGTCTTTTCTCCAATGTATGTTTTGGGACTCTTTGTCAAAAACCAGATGGTTGTAGATACGTGAGCTTCTCTGGGTCCTCTCTTCTATTCCAGTGGTCTATGTGTCTGTGTCTGTGCCATGCTGTTTTGGTACAGCTTTGTTTTTGGCTTCATAGTATAATTTGGAATCTGGTTTGGTGATGGCTATTCCGGACTTTTTGTTTTTCCATATGAATTTTAGGATTTTTTTTCTAGTTTTATGAAGAATATCAATAAAATTTTGGTGGGAGTTACATGAAGTCAGTAGATTTTTTTAGTAATATTATAATTTTTAACAATATTAATTATGTCAATCTATGAATATAAGATATCTTTCCATCTTCCAGTGTCTTCAATTTTTATTTTCTACATTGTGTAACTTTCCTGACAGTTCTTTTGCTTCCTTGGCTAAATTGACTCCTAGGTATTTTCTAAGCTGTTGTGAGTGGAATTGTTTTCTTGATTTCTTTCTCCACTAGTTCATTAATGCTGTACAGAAGACAAATGGATTTTATCCTGGGTATTAGATAATTTAAATCAGGCCCTCTTACTATATGATTGAGTAATAACATGTATTAAGCATTGTACTGTAAAGGACACTTGCAAGTACTGTCTATACACATCTATTCTTAGAACAGCCATATGAAACAAATTTTGTTATGACAAAACTGAGGTTCAACCAAGTTACCAAACAGGCTCAATGTCACCCAGGTAGCAAATGATAGAAGCAGGCTCCCTAGCTGAGTGGGCTGATTCTAGAATACAAGCATATAACCACTGTAACGTAGGCACTGACTATGTGTATAACTGTGTCCACTCATTGTGAATACAGAACAAGAGCAATAGGTGATGTTTTCTTTCCTAAGCTTGCTTTTCAACAGAATATGTTCTTCCAGGAATAGCTATTAATGTCTCTCAGAATTGGTATTCCTCAGAACACAGATTTTTTTAAAAAAAAAATTTTATAGCCTGTGTCCAGCATTCATTACATCATCACTTTTTTTGAAATCACCACAGTTGAACACATCTAGGGACCATACTTTGTTGTCATTTCCCATCAAACAGGACTGTGCCTACCTTAGAGGCTTTTAAAATTAATTATAGAAAGAATACTGGACATTTCTCCAGAACTGAACCGGGTTGGAATGCCTGTCTCACCCCCACCCCCCAGGTTATGAATTTGCATACATTATTTAATTTTCAAGAACCCTCAGTTGTAAAATAGGTATAAAATCTACCTCAAAGAATATGTAAAGATTAAATAAAATGGTAAAGCTGTACTTAAGGAAAAGTCCCCGGTGCTTAGAAATTCAGTAAAACTCTCCATTTCTCTCTGTGAAATCTCTTAAAAACTGCAGGAAAATCTTTTAAACCTTTCCAAATGTATCCATTAGTTCCTATTTCTCAAAAGAATTCCATTAAAATAGAAAACTACATAACTAACGAAATTTTGATTAATTACAGATTGTATTCTATTTTTTACAGATACAACCTAAAATTCTTTTTTAAAATAGTAAAACACTGACAGGATATGCTTTATTTTAGAGAATATTGTGCAAAACTCCTAGTTGAAAGCCCAGTGCCCCTTATCCTCAAAACCACAGAACACTCGGATACAGCATATGCTCATTTCATCACACAATGTTAAAAATCTGCTTCAGTAACTGTCTTTTAAAATACTGCCATCCCTTAGAAAGCAGGGCAGTACTTTGAGTACTGTTGCACAATGGCTTTCATTGCCTGATGTGTCTCTAAATGGCTCAATAAGTTCAAACAAGATGGTATTGATCCACAGAGGATAAACACCATTTTATCTTATTCACGGACACAGTAACCAGGCTCCTCTAAAGTGCAGTTCTAACAGTCCAAACTCCCCCAGGAAAAGCGGCTGGAAAGGAGCCCCACTCTCGCAGTGACAGTCTGTATTAGACATCTAAATCCCATCTGCTCCTTGACCTGGAATTGCAAATCCAGCCAGTTATTATTAACAATTATTTATTGCTAATTGGATCAGGAAAGCAAGTCTAACACTTTATGTCAGACCTAATCCAAATAGGTTACCAGCTTTAAGCAATATTTAGAATTTTTAATTTAATAAACTAAAATTTTATATTATATATATTTTGGTTGGTACAAATCAAAAATCAAAATTTAAGCCCGGCATGCTGGTGCACTCCTGAAATCTCAGAATTCTAAAAGTCTGAGGTGGAAGGATTCCAAGTTCAAGCCAGCCTGGGCAGCCTGGTTACTTAGCAAGATCTTGTCTCAAAAAGTACAAAGGGCTAAGGGTGTAGCTCAGTTTGAAGGACCTGGGTTTAAGCCCTGAACCAAAACACACACACACACACACACACACACACACACACACACACACACACACATTTGATAACTACTGGGCTTGGTACCAGAACTCTTGTGGATACCAAAATCTTCACATGCTCAAGTCTCTTATATAAAATGTTGCAGTATTTACATATAACCTACTCGTATCCTCTCATGAACTCTAAATCATCTCTAAGCTATTTATAACATCAAAGACAATGTAAAAACTATTAAATAGCTTATTTTAAAGGAATATTTTAAAAGGAATATAATATAAGAAGAGAGCCTCTGCATGTCCAATATAGATGAAGGTTTTTC